AGAATCCACATAGGAGAAAAACCCTACAAATGCCTTAAGTGTGGAAAGAGCTTTACTGAGGGTGCAAACCTCCATGAACATCAAATGATTTACATAGGAGAAAAACCACATAAATGCCTTGAATGTGGAAAATGTTTCAATACTAGAGAAACTCTGTATAGACATCAAATGATTCACATAGGACAAAAACCACATAAATGTCTGCAGTGTGGAAAGAGCTTCAGTCGGAGAGGGCACCTTGACAGACATCAAAGAATCAACTCAGGAGAAAAACCACATAAATGCCTGGAATGTGGAAAGAGCTTCAGTCTGAAGGGAAACCTTCTGTTCTGTCTCCCCTTCCCTTTCCCCCCAAAAGTAAGGGATTATGCACACACACAAGAATCCACACAGGACCGACAGGCAAGCTGGCTCAAACTTCGCAGAGCAAATCCTCTGTAACTCATAACATTCTTGGCATCCTACTACGTCCTGCCTGCCAAGTCCAAGCTGGCAGCAATTGTAAATCAGTCTTACACAGAGGGAAATGGGTCTTTTACAAGGCAATCCACAAAACAATCATTCTTCCAACATAGTCACGAATAAAGTCTAAAGTAAGTTAAACTTTGCCCTGTACAAAGTTTAAGGAGAAAGCACACCCACTTTTATCCCCTGTGGAGTGTGGCTCTGTGACTCAGCTCACTCTCTGACCCTCCCACGCTTCCTACGTTGCTGCTCACATTTCTCCCTACAACACTGCTTGGGGTCGAGCCAAGACTACTACTCTTCACTCCCTGTCAGGGGCTGCTCCGACATGCCTTCTTCCTGATTCATCTCAGGCTGTTCCTCTCGGTTGTCTGATGGAACCTGAGGCATTACCAGGGAGGAAGGAATTGGCAGGAAGGTCCTAGGGAGGAAGGCATTGCCAGTTCCTCCCCCTCATCTTCCAGGTCCTCTTCCTCTGACAGCACAGGCTCGGGAGTCAGGGCCACAACATCTTCATAGACATCAAAGAATCCACACGTGTTTAAAACCCTATGAATGTCTGGATTGTGGAAGAGCTTTAATGTGGGTGGACAACTCCGTCAACACCAAATTCAGGAGTAAAACCGTTAACATTCCTGGAGTGTAGAAACAGCTTCAGTCACAATGTAATCTCAGTAAATATTATAGACTTCACACAGAGAAGAAGTTTATAGATGTATTAAAAAATCCTTGAAAACAAATGGAAGTCTCCAAAACCACCTAAGGATCCACACAGGAGAGAAACCATAGATATTGAGTATGCGTGGCTAAGATGCTTCAGTAACCAGTAAAGCCAATGCAACCCTGGATGAAATTTATAAAGGTTTCTCAAGGCTTAAGAAACTGACTATACAAAGACACAGATTACCATCCAATAAGCCACAGATGCGGCTAGTTACCCTTCTCAACAAGTATGTATCAACTTGAATGTATAATGTACCATTTTATCAGCTCAAACATTCATGTTCAGTGGCTAGACTTCATCCTGTGCAGCTGGAAAAAAACATTTCCCAAGAAACAACAATCCTGCAATCCACAAGATTGGAAAAAACTCAACTGAAGGAACACTACAAAGCGTTACTTCAAATAAAGGTCTAACTTAGGGAAGTTTTTTTCCCCCAGGGTTGATTGAAGATGTCTATTTTGATCACTTTGGATCTTTCTCTCCTTCTGCTTTGCTCAGAAGTTCCAGCAATTTGGGGTCTTCAACTAAGAGTTCGAGAGCGTCTTCGCCTGCCACTCGCCTCACTTTCTCTCCTTTGGCTGCAAGGATTTCCTCAATGTTCCTAATTCAGAAAGAGAATTGTTTTACGAAAAAGGCAGGAAGCATCAGCTGTGACTGAAGGAAAAGCCTTGCTTTGTGCACATTATAACTGCCTGTAATGTAAAATTGTAAGCAAGAAAACACCCCAGCTAACAATGACTGCACAGGGCATCTTTCACATAGAAAAGACAAGTAGAAACCATCTTTCCTCTTTGTCTTACTTTAAATACATGAAGGCTATCAATCACATGGATATCATGTTTTATTTATGTATTTTGTCATGCTTTCAGCCTTCATTTGTTGAAATAAACTAGTAATAGCCAACAATAATGGAGTAAAATGGTTTCTGTGGGATTTTACTAACAAGGAATTCTGCTTGGTGCTGTGATCTCTCTCTTGGACAACTCCTCAGACTCTTCCTCAGAGGCCGGCTCAAGGGGGGAATGAGCTCATTCCTGGCACATCAGGAACTGGGTTAATTAATAACTGAATTGCCGTCTGAAAAAGATTTATGGGAGCTTTGGCTGGGGACAGTTTGCAGGTCAGTGAAGATGAGCAGGAGGAGGTGCTTTCCGTGTTGGATCCAAGAGCATGCAGGACAGAGAAAAGACAAGAGCAAAGGAGATGTGCTAGATTACTTGGGAGAAGGCTCCACCAATATTGATGGGCTGCACTGGAAAGCTATTTATCATGGCAGGCAGAGGGAGGCGTTGTAGACAACATGTTTGGATTATATGCTTCCTGCTTGACTTTATGCCTTGGAGACTCTGAACTTCTCTTGCCAAGTGAGCTCTTGTGGATGTACTTTCAGTTTTGCCTGGCGGGTTTGTTTGGTGGACTTACTTGTTGGAGCAACTTTCTATTGTTTTATGGACTATTGGCTCTTGTGGACTAATCTTGGCCTATTTGTGGCTCGATTATTGGGACAGTTTCGAGGCTGGGTGAAGGGAACTCCTGAGGAACATTAATGAACTCTCTACAACACACGTATGTTTGCGAGTGAGTGGGGTGGCACAGGTATTCATTTTGCAAGCCAAAATCTGTGGATTATGAATTCTGCTGTGCCCATCATGTTAGCTCTGAACTGTTCCCAGGAACTAATTCCAGCTTCAGCAACTGTAGCATCAAACCTTGAACAAAAAAGGGGAGGGGGAGACAAAGGTCCGCGTGCTCACCTCTTCCCTTCCAAGTCAGAGAACCAGCCCAAGTTATCAGCAATCACATGATGGTTGTTGCACCCCGAGCATTTCACTATCACGACTCCATGATGATAAGCCACCTTGGAAATAGTTTTCGCAGATCGTGTGTTGCATACCTGAAAGAGAAGCCAGGATCCTCTCAGGGAGGGCAGGGAATTTGGGGGACGTATAAATTTATTTAGATATGACTTTTATTACATTTGGAGAGCAGCCCAATTCCCAGTGACTCTGGGTGGCTTACAAAAGAGAAAAATAAAACAGGAAATAATGTGTACATCTGGGCAAAACACTTATTGTATTAAAAATGAAAAACCCCTGTGGCTCGACCAACAGGCTAATAAGCCAAACGTGGAGCAAAGCCTCCTCTTCAAAGACTTGTGCACATTTGTTGTGTGAGCCATGCAAATCTTGGGGCAATGCCGTTTGAGGGGAGATGTTTGAAGCTCTCCTGGGAGCAACATCTAAGCAATCAGCCATAGCTGCTTTTCCAAATTGCCTTTCCAATTCCAGTCCCTGCCAGGCTCCTGGTGCTAAACAGGCCAGATCTCAACTAACCTTTTCCCAGATCAGATGTTAGTCAGCTGAGCAAACAAACCATCTTCAGGTCAAACCCATCACACTCCTTATCTTCACAAGCAACTAAAGTCTTTTCTGAGCAACAACACAGATTGAGCTGGTTCTTTTTTTTTTTTTTAACTGTCCAGTGCAGGACAGCAACTCTTGCATTTCCTGGTGGTCTCCCATCCAAGCCCTAATTAAGCCTGTTTGGATTCCCAGATGGCAAGGTTGTTAGACTGAGAGTCATCCGGCTGGAGAAGGTGGCCGATTTTGGGGTGAGTTCATGCAATAAGCATCACGGGCTCGGCTTTGCATGGGCTGCTCAATCTGCCTAGTTTTATGCTAGGTTAAATTGGCTTGCACTGGAGTCTGGATATACAAACCCAGGAGTGGGGAAGCAGGTCGTGTGAACAGGGCTCGGCTCTCGCTGGTTCCTCCTTCAGGTCGTTCTATGCGACCTCCCAGTTCATCCCTTCCCTAGTTGATGGCACAGGGCGGAAGTGACGCGCGCAGCCTCGCTCTGTTCCGCCCGCTGCCAAGATGGCGCCTGCGGCTTCCCTTTCTCTCTCCTCCGTTCCGCCCGCTGCCAAGATGGCGCCCTCGCTTCGCTGCCCTCAACCGCTCCCTCCCCTTCAGGAGGGGTAAGGCATCCCGTGCGAACAACCCACCTTACACGTGAACAGCAGCCGATAGTGCGTCGCCTCCTCCGCCTTTGCGAGCCGGCCCTCCTGTGGCTGCCGCTCCCCGGGTCCCACCGACAAGGCTCGTCGTCGCGAAGCCGCTGCCGGGGACGATGAAGCCGTTGCCCCCCGCACCGGCCACCTGCCCAGGCCCCGCGCCCCGACTCCCACGACCGCCGGAGACTTACACCTGCCGAGAAAGCGCCAACGGGGAGGCCGGAGCAGCGCTTGGAAGGCCGCGGCCGCCATCTTTACTGTGGGAGGCGACGCCGCCGCCTTTCCCGGCCTTGAAAGCAACTCCGCTACCGGCCATCAGGGGGCAGCAAAGGACGGGGCCATCTGTCGGCCCTCGGGAATATTGCAGCCCAGAGGTGTTCAGTTTTCTTTGCAGGGCAGCTCCCCAGTCTGCCTTCCTGCCAAGCAGGTTGGATACTGTGTTTTATTATGAAATTAGAGCCTCACAACAACCTGTCCAGGTAGGCTGGCCAAGACGCTCTAGAGGTCAGCCTGGGGAATGACAAGAATATTGGGAGTTATATGTCTATGGAGATTCTCAATCGTCGTGGTCATGGTTTCCCAAAGATATTTTTTCTTTTCAGAGCTGAAGAAGCTTCTTGGATGAGAAGTGATGAATGTCTTCAAAGAAAAACCAGGAAGTCCAGTTGCTTCTTGGAAAAACATTTTTGTTTTCTAGTATTCTAGTTCAGCAACATCTTCCATTTTACACCACAAAACTCCCTCCACTGAGCACCTGACACTCACATTCACAAGTACCAAAGCAAGCCAGTGTTAAGAAGGGCTGGATTTCTGGGGCTTTGCCAGTTGTCCAAGCCTTCCTTAATTCCTGGTTGAATTCAGCTCTCTGGACAATCCTGGCTCCAGCATCCCTTCCTTCTATTCCTGAAGGAGAGATGAGCTAGAAAATTGCTGTCATAAAAATTCTGGTCGCAGCCATAAAATACAGACCAAGAATTGTTCCGCCTAGTTCTGCCCTGGTCCACCTGCACCTCAAATTCCAGATTCAGAGAAGGTCAAGTCGAATGATAAAGTCCTCCTGTTGCAGCCAAAAGTAGAGGTACCCCTCTTTTCCTCAAATAATCTCAATTTGCTGTGATATTGGATGTAACTGATGCGAATAATTGGCCTTCACCATTAGCTGTAGCATAATCCATTGGGCAGACACTTCGCTTTTGAAGTACAGTTATTCTATTCTATTCTATTCTGTTCTATTCTTATTCTATTCTCACTTCAATCCTCCCTCGTGTTAATTAAAAAGATACTCATTTGGTCTTTTTAGCTGCCAGAAAAAGGGAGTGGGGGAAAACCAAGCATTCTTGAAATGTCTAGATAATCGGTTTTTGACATTCTCCCAAGTTGCTTTCAGCGTTGACATCCGATCAGTCAGGCTGCACTAAGTGCCTGATCAACCTAACCATGGTCCTGAAACTGGGGATCAGAGCGAAAAAGCTGACCGACCCGATCTGGCTTGAACAAGTAGATGGCTCCCTGTTGGGAGAGGCCTATGCCACTCACTTAAAGGAACCAGTGAGACTAGAGTTAGGGGATCACTGGGAAACCATTTGATTCGTAGTGGTTCCCAAAATGATAGACGGGGCTTTCCTGGCTAGGCAAGTGGGGCCCATTATTTTGAACCACTGATGCCTATGGTACAGAAGATGCTGTGAAGCCTAAAATAATAATAGTTTAAGCTAAATAAAGAGCTTACTGAGGACCTTTGCAATTGGCGTCTTTCTAGGAAATCGAGGATGACACCACCACAAGTCCAACTCAATGAGATTCCAAAATACCAAGGAGATTTCTCTGGGACCTCAAATGGGGCTTATGATCCAAACCATCCAAGCATCCTGGACCGGCTGGCCCTTGCCTTTTTTGACCCTGAAAAACACACAGGGCTATTGGCAACAGTGTCCTCTGGGACCCTTTGCTCAGCCCTCCCATTACTGCTGTTCCTTCTCCTTTTTCCTTTCCGTTGCATTTTCCCAGAGAGAACATATGGTAGATTTCAGGGCCCCTTTCGGTGGCTGGCAGTTAAAAAGCTTCTGTTGAATGTTTTCACTCCCGGCAGCTGTGTGTACAAAACACAAGCCTGGCTTGCCAGAAAGTGGCATTTTTGATGCTTGGCAGAGAGGAGGAGGAGGAACTTGGCAGGAAGGGACAGACTGCCAAGGGAATTCTCTCCGTGCCCTCGCTTGCAGAGCTGGAGATGGGAAACTCATGCAGCCCAGACTTCAGTGGCTTATGTCGGCTTTAATCAGAACAGAACAGAAGGATTAGATAGGATAAACAGACTAGACAATAGAATAGAATAGAATAGAATAGAATAGAATAGAATAGAATAGAATAGAATAGAATAGAGGAAGGGAAAGGAAAGGAAAGAACAGAACAGAATAGAATAGAGGAAGGGAAAGGAAATAGAATAGAACAGAACAATATGGAAGGGAAGGGAAGAGGAGAAGAGAAGAGAATGTGGGAATAAAATAGAATAGAAGAGGAGAGAAGAAGAGAAAGAATAGAACAGAACTAGGAATAGAATAGAATAGATACGGAATGGAGTAGAATAGAATATGGAATGGAATAGACACAAAATAGAATAGACCACAAAGAATAGACACGGAGTAGAATGAATAAACAAAATTTTGTGTCTACAAAATAGACACAAAATGAATAGAATAGAACAGAACAGAAGAGAATAATAGAGTTGGAAGAAACCTGGGAGGTCTTCTAGTCCAACCTGCTCAAACAGGGCACACCACACCATTTCAGACAGGTGGCTGTCCATTCTTTTCTTTAAAACCTCCAATGATGAAGCACCCACAACTTCAGGTAGCCAGCTGTTCCACTGATTAATTGATCTCAGTGTTAGGAAGTTTCTCCTTAATTCCAAGTTGCTTTTCTCCTTGATTAGTTGCCACCCGCTGCTTCTCGTCTTGCCTTCTGGTGCTTTGAAAGTAAGTTTGACCCTCTTTTGTGGCAGCCCCTCAAATACTGGAACACTGCTATGATGTCACCTTATGTACCCCACAGTCCTTTTCTTTTTGAGAGACCCTTGGTTGAGGTGTCACAAGCGTGGAGCAAAAGCTTCCTATTCCACCCTTGGTCCCATCGCTTGCTCTGTGTGAGATGCTGTTGAGGATTGATGAGTTTAAGAAGTAGTCCCGGGTTCTGTTCACACGTTTCCAAGCCACCCCTTATGACTCAGGATGGTGCATTCAGAAGCCATGGATGGCCCTCACGTTTTGACATCATCCTGTGAATAAGGCAACTAAAATGCATAATCCCAATAAAATAATTTCTATAGCTCAAGGGTGAACTGTAGAGTCCTTACTGCTCTCTCAGGTTGGCTGTTTCTTGACAGATATTTCATGACCCAACTAGGTAATATCATCAGTGCTAGAGAGTTTGGGCTTTGCTGCCTGTTTATACACAATTGCCCTGCTGTTGGTTTTTGGGGTGTGTGATTTTTTTTCCTAGGTGGTTCCTTGATTACAGTATTGTTTTACACACTTCATACAACGACAACATTCCCATGAAGATAATGTTTAAGGGATGAGGTTGTTTGTGGGTTGATTTATTTATTTATTTATTTATTTATTTTATTTTATTTATTTGTCAATTGTTTACGAGATAATAAGTAAAAGTGTATACATAATTATGAATACATGAAATGAGTACATATAAGAAAAATGAAAGAAAAATAAAAGAAACAATAGGACAGGGACGGTAGGCACGTTGGTGCGCTTATGCACGCCCCCTACAGACCTCTTAGGAAAGGGGTGAGGTCAATAGTAGACAGTCTAAGGTTAAAGTTTTGGGGGTTTGGGGAAGAAACTACAGAGTCGGGTAGAGTATTCCAGACATTGACCGCTCTGTTGCTGAAGTCGTATTTCCTGCAATCAAGCTTGGTGTGGTTAACCTTGAGTTTGTATCTATTGTGTGCTCTTGTGTTGTTATGGTTGAAGCTGAAGTATTCATTGACAGGTAGGACATTGAAATGTATGATTTTATATACCATGCTTAAATCAGACCGAAGACGGCGTAATTCAAGGTTTTCTAGTTCTAGAATTTCAAGTCTGATATTGGGTAACGACACCCCTTGTTGCTCCTTCCCCTCTCTGGATGCCAAAAATAGACCCAATGCCCCCAATTTTTCCACAAATTTTTGAAAACAGTCTTTGTTGGTGTCTTCCCATTTCTGAATGCAACAAATTAAACAGGCACGTGGTTGGAAACTAACTAAGGAGATAACTAAGGAATTTTTTTTTACTGACAAGCAGCCAGTGGAATGATTTCCCTTCAGAAGTTGTGGCTGCTCCATCACTGGAGGCTTTTAAGAAGAGATTATGGATGGTCACTTGCCTGAGATGGTATAGACTATATGATATTCACAGTGACTGACATTTAAATTTATACCAGAATAAAAATAATCTTGTTTTAAACACTTAGCAGTGGTAAAACCACTCAATGCCTGGCGGGCGCCATGGCTGAGGATCGTCTTGAAGTAGATCTTAATTCTTTTAACCTTTCTATTAACTTTATCTCATTCTTATTTAATCTTAATGTCTTTATATTTGTCTTTTTATTGTACTGTAAACTGCAGAGAGTTGCTCTGGTGAAAGAGATAAGTGGCACATTTAATAAGCAAACTTTTTTTTTTTTTAATTTAATGGAACCTGCTCCTCTTCCAACCGTGTCTTGGCCAGTAATTCAGTCCCAAATAGGAGCTGTGGGTCTATTGCTGCTTCTCTTTATTTGCAGGGAACAGTTTTGATCTGACGCTTGCCAACTTCTCACTGGTGCAACCCTAAAGATGATTAAAGATTAGCGTCATTTAGCTACTAGCTTTTAACCGCAGATAAGTGTGCCTTATGTCTTTTAATTCTCTCTTCAAATAAGCTGGTTCTTAAAACTGCTGTGGATGAGTTAAGGTTTGGGTGTTTTTCCCCCCCAAAGACCCCTCATCTCAGCCCAGTTTCAGAAGAGAAGCGACTCGAGATTATTTCCCAAAGCATCACAGAGAAAACAGCAGAGAAACCAATACAGCTCACCCACAAAAGTGCTTTTCTGCATTTGTTGGGGGGGTGAAGAGGGTTTCAGACAAGAAATATAACCAGAATTGAAAAAGGAGAAGGGAGAGAAAGAGAGCCTTGAGGGGCCGCGTGGCATTGCTCTGGTGGCAGAGCCAAAGGTCAGCAGTGCTGGGCACTGTCTGCAGAAATGTTGTGGGCGGGGGGCACTGATGCTCCTCCCAGAGGAAAAAATGACCTTCTGGGTTAACAAAGCATCTATTTGTAAGTCATGCAGCCTCAACAAGGCTGCTGGGTCTCTTGGAAAGTGAATAATTGATAATATAACAGTAAGAATATAACAGTTAGAAGGTCTTCCAATCCAACTCCCTGCTCCCTACATCTTTCTTGGCAAGTGGGCGTCCAACCTCAATCGAGTTCAGTCTAATTGTTTAATTTAATTGAGTTTTTCCTTTCCTCCCTCCTCCTCCCTCCTTCCTCTCTCCCCTTCCCTTCTGTCAGATCCGTGTATGGGGGGGATGGAAGAAGAAGGGGGAGGGGAAATTGGTGCAAGTAATCCTTTTTGGATGTAACCTGAATGTATTAAATCTTATATTGATTCTGTATAACTTGCACGTGATATACAACTGGAGGACTGGAGCCAGATGTCTAGAAACTTGTCACCTCTTGGAGAGATAGCATAGAGGAGAAGGGACCATAAAAATTCCAGCTCTGGAAGACAATCGCTGGGAAACTCTTCTAAGATATGTTCCCAGAAAAGCGAGGGGGAATTAACATGTTGGTTCTTTGTTTGAATAAATCCACATCTAAATAAGGGGAGGGATTCTAATTCCCTTTATCTGTTACTGCAGGAAAAAGCAGGAAAAAAAAGTGGCTTTTCAAACGCTGCGCACCCGCACGCAGCGCTTGTCAGCTGTCCGGCAGGCACAGCTGAAGTTTTTTACACGTGTGTGCAGTGCAAAACATAGCCGTCAAACCACTAGTAACACCGGTTGAATCCCGCCCCTGGCCATGCCCACTCAGCAACCAGGCAGCGAACCAGTTGCTAGGACTTTTGAATCCCACCTCTGTTTGCAATTTTAATGCCAGAGAGACAGTTCCTCGCCAAACCTGCCCCTTAGAGAACAATGGGTTTGCATTATGACAGCCACACTTGCTCAAGGACCACACAAACATGTGACATAGTCACATTACTCGCTTTATAACCATCGCAACGTACGACCAAATTGTGGTCTCCATTAAAGTTGGTAGGTCGATGAATCCCTATAATTACATGATTATAAAATGATAGGGGTGGAAGGACCTTGTGAAATCTTCCAGTCCAACCTCTACGTGGAATTATTCGTGTTGACTTTGCAGCTCCCAATTATGCACTGGTTTTATTTCGTCTTGTGGTTGCTTCTAACTAAAGAGGCTTCAATAGAGCCTGTTTTCCCTGGCTCTTTTCAGAGGCAGGAAACCCAGGATGATTTCCAGGTGGCACAGAATCTCTGGGGCTGGCGAGGAGGGGGCAGCTTGAAGGAGAAGGTCTCACCCTTGACGGGGTCAAAAGAAAAAAAAAATTCCGCAGAATCTTCCAGTTCTGAAGTCAGTTGCATGGACCAGAGGATGCTGTTTCCATGGCAGCAGACAAGGGAAAATGCAGCAGGGAACAGGATGCTCAGGTAAAGAGAGAAGGAAACTAAAAAAAAAAAAAGGTAATTTCTTATGCAAAAAAGGAGGAATATCATACATTTTGCTGATGTATAAAGCTCCAGCATAGAATGGCAACTTCGACCTGGCACAGATTTATTTATTAAACGTTCACGCCACCTATCTTTATAAAGTAACTCTGGGTAGCTTACATATTTATTTTATTTTTTTTAAAAAAATCCAGTTTGTTGAACAAGCCGTGACAGCCCCTTTCTCACGTCTTGCCTAAGCCAGTTGGAAACAACCCACAAGAACCCTCAACATGATGCGTATCGACAATGCTGGCAACAGTTCTGTGAGGTGGTCTGTAACCATCATCAGGTCAGTACAGGAGTTTGTAAAAGTTGCTGACCCCATTCAAAACGTAGTATTTTGAGTGGGAGGCTCTGATTCGCCTGGCTGTGCTCCAGAACAGTCTGGAAAGAGTTAATTCCGCTTCATTTTAAATGCAGCGTGTTTGGGTGTCCGTTTTATGTCTTATATTTATATGCCACCCACCTCACTATCAAGACATATCCCTGTTCACACCAGACAGACTGTTAGGGAACTGCAGAACACAAAATGGAATTTACAGAGTTGAAAGGAGGTCTTCTAATCCAATCCCTTGCCCAAGCAGAAGACCTTTATACCATTTTGGACACATGGATGTCCAGTTTCTTCTTAAAAACCTCTAGAGATGGAGCACCCATAACTTCTGAATGCACTGGTTTGTTATTGTCACTGTCAGGAAATTTCTCTTTAGTTCTAACATAAAAGGCTCGGATCTTTCTACCTGTTGCTCTCAAGTGCTTAGGTTGAACCCCTGTTCTATGTGAGAGCACCTCAAATATTGGAAGACTGCTACCATAGCACCCCTAGTCCTTCCCTTCATTTAGACTAGATGTGCCCAATTCCTGCAACCATTCATCATATGTTTTAGCCCGCTAATTCGTTTTTGTTGCTCTTCTCTATACTCTTTGAACTTTGGAGAGTCTTAACAACAGGGGTGGGATTCTACCAGTTTGCACCTATTTGCTAGAACCGGTTGTTAACGTTCTAAACAGTTGGGAGAACCAGTTGTTAGAAGAAATTCCTGGGCTAATCCTGTAAGGAAGGCAGGAAGGAAACATTCTGGTGTTGCTTATAGAAACTGCCTCTCCGTTAACCCTTATTACATTCTTGGTAGGACTAGACTTCCTGTCTCAGGAACTTCTCTGGAGTTTTTTTTCCTCTCCTTTGCTGGTCCTTTGCTTGCGTGGAATGACCATTCAAAGTTACAATGGCACTGAAAAAAAGTGACTTATGACCATTTTTCATACTTACGACCGTTGCAGCATCCCCACAGTCATGAGAGGCCAGGCGAGGACATGCATGCCTCGATGTGAGTGCAACTGAGTTGGCTATGTCCACCCAGTCATGTGACCACCAAGTCACGCCCACCAACTAAGCCACGCCCATAGAACCGGTTGTTTAAAAATTTGAATCCCACCCCTGCTTAACATCATTTTTGAAGCTTGGTGACTAAAAATGGATGCAGTACTCTGTGTGTGGTCTTACCAGTGTACACTTGGAATATTGTTTCGGTCACTATGATACCAAACAGATGTTGAGACTCTAGGCACAGTTTGAACCTTTACAGGCCAGCATCGATAGTTCCAGAAGTCACACAACACACTAAACCAGGGTTAGGACATTTTAACAGAGGTTCATTATATTAAATTCAGGTTAAGTTCAAACTTTGAAACAGAGAGGGTCAGTTTGTACAGAAGGCTAACAAATTAAAAACACAGAGAGTGCAAATAAATGTTTCATCATGATAGAAATTCACCCCTGTGATTTGTTCATCATGATTTGTGGCTGGAGTCTCCAATCTTGGCTAGTTTAAAATTTGTGGACTTCAACTCCCAGAATTCCTCAGCCAGTTTTGGGATTCTGGGAGCTGAAGTCCACAAATCTTAAAGTTTCCCAGTTGGAGATTCTGGTTTAGGGCTTTGCAAATCAGGTTGCAAATATACAGGCGGCCACTAGAAAGCAGCAAAGAGAAAGTTCCAATTCTTTGCTTCCCATTTTGCGCCCCCCCACCGCCCTCCAAATAATCTTAGGTGCAGAAAACATTTGCTAGACCAATACTTGAATACAGCTCATCAGTCTGGAAACCGCATTACGTATCTGATATTATTAACACAGTTGAGAAAGTCCAGAAATATTTCACAAGAAGAGTTCTCCACTCCTCTACTCGTTGCAGAAGACCTTATGCCACCAGACTCGAAATTCTAGACCTAGAAAATCTAGAACTCCGCTGCCTTTGGTCTGATCTAAGTATAGTATATAAAATCATACATTGCAATGTCCTACCAGTCAATGAATAGTTCAGCTTCAACCATAACACAAGAGCAAACAATAGATACAAACTCAA